TCTGAATACAAGATGATTGCAGCATGATTCTTCTTTCCCCTAGTAAGCTATTAACCTTTCAGATGACAGCCCTGCAATCGGAATGACTGAACGATTCTCAGGGTCAGCGTGGAGCTACGTTCTCAAAACCTGACAGCAACATGCAAAAGTTGTGACTGAATCGCGGTCTCGCTGAGAGTAAGATTAAACGCGTGTGACACATCTTTTGCAATCAAAGTGTTCCATTTCCCAAAGTATCTGCCACAGATTGATAACATCCACGCAAAAAGTTAAGTGCAATTATGTCTGTCATTGTAAAACACACTTCAGCAGCACTGAGTGACATCTTGCTGGAAGCTGACAAATTGTTAGAAGATTGTTTGAATGACTGTGGTGGAGGCTCCTCCACCAGCACCTTGGGAAGGAACTCGGAAGGCACTTGCTAACCAAGAAACCACACACATGCAGGGAACGTAACGGCTGTGACAACAGCCGATACACCGGCCTGAGCAAGCGAGATGGCTTTAGGGGAGCTCTGCCTGTGCTGGCAGGAAGTCAGAGCTCTCCCCAGAAAAGCTGAGGTTAGATTTATGGAGAGCACAAGAGCAAGGTAGAAAGCTGAACTCATACACAATTGCTAGGCAGAACTGCAGGCTGGGGCAAACTTGTAATGAAGCTTTCGCTAGTGCGTATTCCCTAAACACCAAACATGTGACCCTGACACTCTCCGGCACACATGGGCAGTGATCCCCATGCCGTTCACACACAGCAACTAAGCTGATGTCCTCAAAAGGCAAGGCTGAAATATTTATCATTAGCACCTGCTTTTGGGAAAGCCCCTCCCCCAAGCGCCCTAAGGTGCAGCGATCACTGTGCTGTGTTAGCACCAACTTATACAAAAGAGACGTTACTCACACTGACCCTCCCAACAGAGCCGCATTTAATTACTGAGTGCCCAGCACTGCCCAGCAAACACACCTAGGAAAGCAGCGTAAAGCTCCATGTCCAACATTCCTGCTACAGGCGACTCAAGTCAGTGGAATGGATCTTTTAACACTCGCCTCTGGGATGAGAAACGGCAGGTGTATTTCTCCACGCTGCCCACAGCACAAAATACAGGGAGAAAAACCCTGGGGTGACTTGACACCGTGTCATCCTACACTGCACAATGGCAGCTCATCAGGTCGCACTCCACAGCGCAACGTCTCAGTCTCATTGGCATACGTGGGCCTGGTCCAGGAGCCCAGAAGCTTGTAACGGGGAATACCAAGGACAAGAGAGCCAAAGCGACATGAACATCCCTGCAAGAGGAAACAAGCAATCCTTCCCCCTCTGTGCTGGCAGGAGGAATTGTGCTCAGCTCTGCCTCTTTCTGCTCCGCAGTTCTGAACAGATGCTCCATTGAAATCAATGGTGTATTACCCCATAGTCGGAAGAGGGGTGTATCCTGCATGTAGCAAGCATGCTAGCAAACAGGGACGTCCTTAAAGAAGAGCACATAGGTTCATTTCCACTGCAGGCATCACTTTTTGAGAAACCCAGGATGCTGCCAGCCAGGCATTAAATACAAGCGCATGAGAAGACAGAGATCCCTGAACGGTCTTTCATGAGACTGAGACTAATGTATTTTGGTACAGATTTCTTCTCTCTCTCTCTCTCTCAAAAGGGCAGGCACAAGCATAGTGTGAAGCCCACATACCCGAGTCACTGGCCAACTCTATCTGAGGACATTCGAGGGCAGACGATTTAGCAAAAGCTTTTGTTCATTCGATATTGGTACAGAACTGGCGACGGAGTTCCAAGTTCCCAACAAACCCTAGTGCAAGAGTCCAGGAACTCCTCACCCCTCTCCCACTTTACCAGGAGGCGACAGGGAAGTGCCGATGCTGGGACTAAGCAGAGCCCGGAGTGCGAATGGCCTGAACAGAACCTCAGCTGGACGAAGCAGCAATGCTGACGCACAGTGAGGTGCTGAGTCGAGTCTCTCGCAGAGCAGCAAAGCATGTGTGATGGAACTCTGACACGCCAGCATCACGAGAATCAATAATTAAGTGTCTGCTGAACCTGCCCGGCACAGAAATGAAAACCGATGGATTAAGAAGCTCTGCAGTAACACACCGGGGTTCTGTTGTCTATCTGTACGTAGTAGTGTTAGCAAGCGTTCCAAAGCACTGAAGATACACTGCATATTGTCCTGATTTAAAAGGTACTTTATAAAAACGAGTCAGAAACTGAAGAGAATCCCTTCAAATATCTGACCAACCTAACAGCTAAATAGCACTAGTTGTGTATTGTGCTGTTCAGTGATTCTGTCTTGGAATAAAATGGCAAACTGGCTGCAAGTGTGTTCTCTTATCTCTATGGTCATGTTAAAATAAAAAGTTACTTGTGACTACAATCTTCCATGGACATTAAGCTTGAATAAATTACTACCCTGTTGATAAAAGTGTTAAAACAGCTTTTCAAGTAACATATGTTTCCTCTAATAAGAAATGTTTGCAAGGAGCATCTTTATATATATTTCTATTTCTAAAAAATATATTGGATAATAAATAATCAATGTAAAAAAAACCAGACATGAATAGATGCCTTGAATGATTGGGCTGTTTTTATTCCGGTGTAAAAGTTACCTGTAAATCATACATGGTGCATGAGGGTAGAGCCAGCTACAGACAGGTGGTTTTTACTAGGAGGCATTAATGTAACATTCAATTATTCCACTGCATACTGGCTGTTTTAACTCAGCCAAATTAGAATACATTTTATATTGACTATTTTGACATTTGTTTTATTTGGCGAGTAAAACAAAACTGATCCAATTTCCTTGCAGCCATTGTAAACCATAAACTGTACAACAAGAGGTTATAAAATATATAAGCCTTGTAAACACTTCTTTTCAGACTGTCGCTGATGCTCTGAGCTCCAATTCTGGCCCGGTTCCCAACAGCTCTGGAGCCATTCTGAACCCCCCCTTCTCAGTCCTACAGTGACCCTTCCACACTTCGTGATTAAGGACAGCCACTGACATTCTCTTGCTAAGATAATTTTTCTCTTTACCATGGAAATTTGCCTGCACGTTTCTCATGGACAGAAAATGAAGACATCTACTGTAAAGACAAGACGTCTCGCTTTGATCTCGCAGGGTCTTTGTTATTTATGCAGCTTGTGCCTAGTGCAATTTTGAAACAATCGAATGGCTCCAGATAAAACAATCTGAGAACTCCAGCAGGACTCCTGTTTCTTATCTCATTTCTAATATCCCCGCTATGAGGCTCTAACGGCTCTGAATGGTGCAAGCTGGGATCTGCAGCAAGGACCTCTCCCAGACAGCACAAGAGACAAGATCTAGCACAACTTTCAGTGAAGTGACTTGTCAAAAATAAACCACAGAAGTTGGTTGAGAAGTCACCACAATACACTAGGTTATAAGTACACTTAAGGGCATGGGCGCATGCCTGTATCCAGATACCGGCCTTCACCAGGATAAAGTTACCACATAGCCCAGTTAAAAGCCTTTTTCAGGCAATTTTAAGACTGCCACTCTTTAAAATGCACAGAAAAGCAAAATAACCAAGGATATGGGTAGCATCTTCTAGCCAGACAATACACTGAACTTTGGACAATTTACAGTCTCCATGAAATTCCCACCTGCCAATCTCCTTAGAAATATAAATCCCAAGCATTTCCTTTAATATGCTAGATGTATTTGCAATACACTGAATGTGCTAACAAAACATTGACACTCCAAAATATGTAAAAACCCACCGAGAACACGTTTCCCAATTGGGGTTGCCCGGGCTATGAGTTCAGAGCAACTCTCTCACCATTGCATGCAGTGCTGCATTTTCATATCAAATGCCAATAATATATAAATCATTCAATTCATTCTCTGTGTGCGGGGTTGTTTAAAAACACCCCCACCACTGGGCTTTGTGCAGGAAAATGTGGTAAATAATTGTAAGCTATAATTATACTCCTGTTCCTCTGACATATAAAAGACACACACACACTTGACACACAGTACACTGCAAGAGCAAACCCATGACATTCACAACGGCTCTACGGCCCTGCTGTTGCAGTTCCTTGTGTGATAAATAAATAAAAAATAAAATTATAAATTAATGGAGATATCCTATCTCCTAGAACTGGAAGGGACCTTGAAAGGTCATCGAGTCCAGTCCCCTGCCTTCACTAGCAGGACCAAGTACTGATTTTGCCCCAGATCCCTAAGTGGCCCCCTCAAGGATTGAACTCACAACCCTGGGTTTAGCAGGCCAATGCTGGGTCTGCGCGCACAATGAACGGCAGCAGCGGGGCCTAAAATCACAGGTTCGGACACAACGAAGAAAAGCAAACCTCAGGCTTCAGTTCTGGGGATTAGGAAAAAAGTTGTTCCCCACTCTTATATGACAAGCCTGCACAATCCACCAAGGGCCTGAATGCTCCCCCCTACCCTTGCCCCACTTTCCCTGGGGGCTGGGGATGGTGAGGATAGCAGTCTAGCTAGACCACTGGCATGCCCCAGAAAGGAGACTCCTAGGCACTCACCTGAGACCAAAGATGCTTTATATTCAGTTAAAAACAAAGATACGGGGCACCTGTGAGCAGCTCTAGGATACGGTTATGGCTTGCTGGGCGCTGACAGGGTGCTCTTTGGTATACAGGACACAAAAGACAGGCAGTTTCATGCTTGGAATTGTTTACACTCTGACCCAGGCCGGCAGGCTAAACAGGACCCCTGGGCAGCCCTCAGTGAATGCATTTTTGTTGTTGTTCTGTCAGCTTTGCTACCTTCTCATCCCCATTCCATCCACGTGCCATCTATGCATGACATCCGCACAGCTTTCTGGGGACTAGCATGTATTCCCCCATTACAGCAGGGTGGACCGTGTAATAATTTATACTGGGACAGTGCCCACTGGTCACAGTCCCACTGGCTTGAGTGTTCAGCTAAAATACGCAGCATAGCATGCCCAAGCAGAAGAGAACCATAGAAAACACTGACAAGTGGCAGAACCTACCTCGGCAGGTTAGGAGCTGGTGTTGAAGCTGGTACTTGGGAAGAAGGTGTCCCGGGTTGCGAGGAGTCATGGTTTCGTGGAACCCTGCCCATTCGGTACCAAATACCCATATTGTTAAGTTCCCTTTGTAAGTAACAGAGAAATCATTAATGCTATTAGCAAATGCAGCATGCACACATGATATCAAACATCGGCAAGTTTCACCAAGAAACATCTTGTGTAATAAGAACCAGGCTAATTGCCACAGAGGATCAATTAATTCTCACACCAAGCAGAATAATACTTTGCACTTGTATAGTACATTCCCTTCAGTGATCTCAGAGCTTTTTCACAAACATTAACACTTGCAAACTCCCACTTAATTCCTGTAGGAAATTACAGTGCGTGGGTTTGGTACATGCTGCGGTATGGGAACGTCCTCTGGATGAAGGGCTGCTTACCCTATGAATGTGTACTGTGGAGGGGCCTGCTTAGATCTGCCCAGGATTCGGATATCACAAATAGCAGCCTCCGTAGAATCTCGAGGGATGAATTTGATGCAGAGCCTCTTCTTTCTGAAAGCTATTTCTTCTGTGAAAGGAAACCAGGATTAGAGGCTGGTTTTTATGCATGACCAGGGTATAAAAGTTATTTATTGCATCTTCAGAGCTTATGCAGATAGTTATGGCAGAAATAGGAGGTGGACAGCAAATAAGTGTGCAAAGCCATGCACTGACTGAATTTTCTAACACTAGTCCTTTTGTGTGGCATGCAAGATTTGTTATTCAGCAGTACTTCTCTCCATACTATCATCTACAGAGAAGATTAGATACTACATACCACAAAGAATTACAGCCTCTGTAATAGAATTTGTCAGGCTGTTGTTTCCACGTCCTATATCTCTGATATCATTTACTTCACTTCTCTCATGGTAGCATTCACCACACCAGCCTGGAGAGCAATCACTGTGTTTGGTAACACATATGAAAGTCACCAGCATCACTGGTCAACCCAGGATCAAGATTTTCTTCACATGGCCATTCGTGCATGGCAGCATATTAAATTCTAGTAAGTGCCCCCTACAGCCAGGCTCAAATTGGGAGCATTCAGCAAAATGCTGCCACTTGGTGAGACTAGGGAGGTGGAGATGGAAGAGAGACTGGACCCCAGAGGGTGGCACAGAAGAGGTGCATGCACTCAGATTCAGATCTCCTCAGGAACACCTCACCCAAACGCATCCGAGACCCTGTCTACGCTGGGCTCTTTGCACCAGTGTAGTTCTTGTAATGGTGCAACCCCCCAATGTAGATATGCTGCAATAGTACAATTTACCCCAGGAAGTTACCAGGGTAAATTGTCCTGGCATAAACCCCATTTTGCATTCATGCAGTGTATCTGTAATGGAAATTTGCCTGGTGTGGCTACACCAGTGTATATTTCCCTAGTCTAGACAAGCTCTAAGGTCTAATTGTACCAGAAGCTTCAGTCTTAAAGAACTGAGTTTATGGAAATGCATGCTCACTCTCCCAGCTGTGGTTCATTTTGCTACCATATGCTGGCCCCACTAATCTCTGGAGGTCCCTGTACATTTCTCTGCCCTTGCTGTTGTTTGTAACTCCTTCCACTTTAGTATAATCTCTGAATCTCATTAGCCGCTTTAGCCCTATTCTAGCCTAGCAAAATATTTAATAAAACAGGATTTCACAGGCCTGCTGCACTCCTAGCCAAACCCATCTCAAGCCACTTCCTTCCTAGTGTTTGGCCATTGGAAGCACCATACTGATCTGCGTCCCAGAGCTGTACAGCCATGCAGGGTGTGACCCTGGAGGGTATAACACACACCATTCAATACACCACAGCCAGCATCTTTAAAGAAGCTTAGCCTGATTTAAGTGGCCACAGCTCCCAGTCAAGTCCGATGGATTTGTGGGTCCTCAGCTACTCTGAAAATCAGGCCCCTTTCAGTCAGGTGCCTAAAGGTGGATTTTAGAAGCCTGGCTTTTGGCTCTCCCATTTCTACACTTTGCTGAGATGGCTAGGGAGCAGGACATTCAGTGCGTTGTGTTATTAGCCCAGGAGACTACAAATGGAAACACGAAGCCACAAATTTTACTTTGAACAAAATGAGAGGCCTGTTACTTCACATGCAGAATATCACAAAGCTCATTTTACTGGCTTGTCTGCCAGGCTCTTTCACACTTTGCTAAATTCCTCCATCTGTGGCAAACTCAGCGACGGAGCTAGACGTGCTCATGGAGGCAGGGAAAATGCACCACTTTATTTATACCAACAGCGCATGGAGGGCAGCAGAATACACTGTAAATGAATCACGCAGTCCTCTCCCCCTCAGCCACATGTTACGTGACTGTGATTTCGTTTAAAGTTATTCTCCATCCTCAGCCCCGGGGTGTTTCCTTGATAAGCGATTGGCTCTACCCTTGCTCCACATGTGCTCCGGAGCTCTCGGGGGCGGTGGCACTGGGAAGTCAGTCATGGGTTACAGAACCTTTTCCTTCTTGGTCACTCATACAAATCAACCCCAGGCTGGCAGTGACTGAACAACCATCCCCATGTGCTGCAGATCCAGGTGAATTATTCACCGTGAAGAAGATTCAGTGAGCCCCTCCCTTTCAATTGACAAACTGGTCTGGATTTCATTACTGGCAGAAAGGACCTGCAAGTATGTGCACTGGCAGAGTGACTGCAGCCCCTTCCCACAAGCCCAGCCACTGGCCTGAGGGGGGTTTGCAGAGCTGGTGCACAGACCCCTTCTGTAGCATGCAGGGGGTGCAGCAGTCGGGCTTACTTGGTGCAGAGGGCTTGGGGCTGAGTGGAGTTTTCTCCCCCAGATTAGGTAGTTATCTGGAAAGCTGTTTTTCCCTTGCAGGAATGAAGGGGAGGATTTTCTGGGCATTCTCCTTCCAATTCATCTTGGCAATGATGAGAGAGGCTCATGTGGATCCCAGCTCCCCAGTGCATGGGCACCAATTTGCTCATATCTGAGCACTATAAAGTCATATGTGTATAAGCACCACGCACAGAGCTCAATACCAGACTTCTCAGCGGAAAAAGGTTAACTGCTCCCAGAGAACCCTCCCCTTCAAAGCACCAGGGGGAACGAGGGGCTGATAAGAGAGGTGGGGCAGTGGCCCACTAGCCATTTGGATACCTGGTGTCATCCCTTGTGTATCTAGGAGATCTAACACATTAGGAATAGTTAATGAAAGCGAGTGAGATAAGGACTATTACACAGCTGCATGCCCCAGGACACATGCCGGGGAATAATTCAAGGAGCCCTTTTTAAGTGACTAATCCAGCTTTTGATGTTTAAGTTTGACTCATCACAAAAGGTTCCTTTACAACACTACTCAGAAGAGACTCACCTTTTCCCAGCAGCTGAGCTTGTTTAACAGGTAACCAAAAGAGAGGTTCTGCCAGGTCTCTTGCCCGAGTGCCCGTGGGTCACCTGACCCGATCGCATTGACCTGCCAGGGAAGTCTGCAGCAGGGTCTGGTGCTCTGCCCCAGGCGAAATCCTCTATTCCAGCTTCACTGGGGTCACCAGATGGAGCCGTGGGGCAGGGAGGCTGGGAGCCTGCTGAGCACCCAGCTCATGACCAACATTACCACACTGCCTTTGGGGCCTCACCTGCCCATGCAAAGGGAAGGAGCAAGATCCACCCCCGCTGGAAGGTGCAACGCTCCTGTGGGCAGTCAGGCAGCTGCACTGAAAAGCCTACAGCACATTTCTGCACAGCACAGCACGGGCCCAGGCTCAATCTCACATGGGAACAAAACGCCTGGCACCATCCAGAAACATGCGCACGCAACAATGCTGCCTGCTCTTGCCCCCTCAGCCGCTGCTGGAGCTGTGCACGGGGCGTGCATGAGCGAGCATGGAGCCCGCTGCTCACAAAACCCAGCATTGTGAAAACACACACTTACGTGTATCGACTGTCTCCTGGATGGGGATGAAGCCCACAGGAAGCGTGTCCTTGATATCAATTAGTTTCATGTCAACCAGGACGTTGCCTAAATGGCTCTTTAGAGAGAGGAGAAAAACAGGTGAGTGCAACTCTTAATAATTCAGGTTCTTCTTGTCTTGCTGATTTGACTTGAAGCTCCCTGTTAAGCAGAGTAGTTTAGCAGAGAGGGCGACTGAGGAATGAGTGGCAGGTACCAGGCTAACAACTCAGACCGAAGGCTACGGTTTTGTCAGAGAGGTGATAGAAATCGTGAATTTGAATCTCGGAAATGGCTGTCAAACCACATGTGATTCGGCCCCCAAACTGAGTTGTGGTGCCACCTAGTGCACGGGGTCACAGCACACTCAGGTTTGGCCCAATCACCAGGCTCTATCGACAGAGGTGAGTGGTGCTGTAACTCCAGGCACCATGTCACAGTGCCTAGAGTGGGGAGCCGGGCTCAGCCCTGCAGGACAGGAGCCGCCCACTGCACGGTGAGTGGGCTTGCTCTCCAACTCCGCCCTCCCATTCTGTGATTTACCTGTCGTGAAATTTACGAAAAAATGTCTGTGCCAAAATTGTAGCTTTACTCCTGATTGCCTACTTACAGCATGTACACAGCCCACAAAGGGTCATCAGCTAAGAGATTACAGGGTTTTCTGTCACACCCATCACTGTAATCCCTTAGCACCTTGGAAACAGAGACCACACTAGTCTCCTGGAAAATCCCTGGTCCCTACCCAGTGAGTTAAAGGAGAATCACCATCGTCCAGTGAACTGTAAGCCTACAAGCCCTATGCATGGTCCAGCTGCGAAAGCCACATAATGTTTATATGGTCACAGTGGTGGGAAATGCTAAGGAAAGACTCTAATGTAGACACAGCCAAAGTTATTACATGCTTCTGCTAATTAATATTGAATACATATGGTGCTAGCTCCAAAAGCTCACGCCATTTGGAATGATAAATTTCATTTGGAATCCATATGAATTCTGAACCAGTGCCTTGTCCTATTAATCAAGGTTTGAAGAGCTAAAAAACAATTTAGTATGACAGCCTCCACAATTGTTTAGAGACTTCATTTCCTTTGCAGTTCCCATTAAAGCCAATATTCTGCCAATATTCTGGATTCACACGTGGAAGAAAAACAAACCCTCTTTCGTTGTCACGTGGCTTTTATGAACAGAAATGCAAAAAGCAATTAAAATGTCATTCTACGCTATGAGACCCCGTCAGTGTATTTTATCATTACTTCCTGCAAACTGCCAGGCACAGTTTTTATCTGGGCAAGCAAAATATTTCAGACAAACCACTGCTTTCTGATTACTGTGTGTATATGAATTGGGAGGCTTTGAAATAAGAGCAGGTTGATTAGGGGCTTCATACCTTCTGAACAGTTTTTTTTTTTAACTTTACAATTCCATAGCAATACAGTGCAATCTAAATACTACACAGTGGTGATGCTGAAAGTGAGCAGTGCTGATTTTCTAAAATCTGAACGTGTCAGTTAACATTTTGTTTAGGCACAGTGACTGGTAGATAAAACGGTTTTTGCTAATGCATCTTTCATGTTGTATTATTCCTACTGTCTGTCTGTTTTACACTAACATTCAACGTCAGTTAAACTGATGATTCCTCTGCCACATCAATACCAGATAGGCAGAAGAAAAAAAACCACACTAAGTTTATCAACTATTGAAATGGCTGGAGTCAGTGGAGTGTATATATGAGAGTGCAGCAAACAATGTACTCAGGTAAAAGTGTTAAAGAACCCACTGTCCCCAACACTTAAACACCAACACATGGAAAACGTCAACATGTTGGGAAATTAGAAATTCTCTCAAAGATTCTTTACACAGTTGAGAACGATGCTCCCAATAAACGACATCACAAATTAGCCCTACAGTGAAACTCAAAGACTTAACTAGGTTCGTTCTGATAACTAAACCCGTGACAAGGTGGGTGAGGTAATATCTTCTATTAGACCAACTTACGCTGGTGAGAGAGGCAAGCTTTCGAGCTCGAAAGTTTCTTTCTCTCCCCAACCAAAGTTGGTCCAACAAAAGATATTACCTCACTCACCTTGTGCCTCTAATATCCTGGGACCGACATGGCTACAACACTGCACCCAACTAAACCAGTGTCATTCGTGTCAAAATAACGTGGCTACAGTTACACTAGAGAGCTTACAGCGAGGCCGGGGGCTGGAGGTTGGTGGATCCTTTGGTTTTCAAGTCAAGATCCATGATCAGCCTCCTATTATTAATTATTATTATTATTTATTTGTTTGATAGCACCTCGGAGTCTAAGTTATGGACCAGGATCCCACTGTGCTACTGGGGGCTGCCTTTCTCTATCTCTGTTATCAGCAAAAATACTGAAAACTGAATCAATATTGACATTCAAAACACGGAGAGCAGCAGAAGTACCTCCTATATAGAGTGCTCTCACTGCACTTGGAAAGCAGAATCAAATATTTTTCTCCAGAAAATATAAAGTTTGTAGATTATACTCATCTGACAAATACAAACAGCCAGTAAAGGCATCAGATCATGGGCCTTCCCAGCCTAACAGCTCCTTACCCAAGTGACAGTGTAGACCACGAACAACCAAGACTGGCTGGATTTAGTCCATTGGAAAGGCACACCAGACAGCTGCTGCCTGCACACTGTGAACAAAGTCTGACTATCCGTGTTGGAAGATGTGGCTCCAGGGCAGACACACACACAGCTACTGAAAACCCTGGGTGAGTGCTAAAGAACTGGAGTCGGACAGAGAAGGGTGAGGAAGTGAGTCCCCCAGGGAAAATGGGGATGATGCTCTGGACTAGGAGAGCGCTCAGGCTTGTGGGATTCAATTCTTACACTTGCTTTCCTTACGTTGTCAGTGTAGGAAAGTCACCTGCTTTGCTAGCACGGGCTGCCCCGTTGTGGGTGTGCTAGATGCTAATGCAAGAGCAGGGATGAAACAAACGTTCCTGGGATTTTTTTTCCATTTTGTTGATTGCAAATCTTTCAGAGAGCTGCTTTCCCCACAACAAACAGCTGATTAAGAGAACAAACACACAGCAAAGATCCCATCAGTGTAGCTTGGCTACAGACTCACCTGGACTTGCTGAAAAACCTGCTTGAATTATCCTGGCTCCCCAAACTGAATCAGTTTAGGAACAAGAACGCGCCAAGCAAATTGTTCAGTCATTCGGCAAATGGACTTACATTTTCTTTCGAAAACGATCTTGTGAAGCACAGGTATCTTGTGACCTTGGATTTAAATAAGCCATCTTTCCAGAGGTCAGCATCCAAGCCATCTGCTGTTTGTGCAACCTGGAAAGATGAGACAGAGGGAGAGACGGGACATCTGAGCCAAGATACAGTTAATGTATGTGCAGTACATCTTCCTCATACCTATTCTCATTAATGCTGGCCCGAATTCTCTCAGCATCTCATTAGTTCATTTCACAAGGTAAAGTGGAGGGATAAAAAAAAGCCCCAACTTCTAAGAATATTGTCTCGAGGGAGTCAGTTGATTAAAGAACCCCTGACAAAAACTATTCTAATAAGGAAACGGCAGCTTTGGAAAGTCAGCACAATACGACACTCGGTACCATTCCATCACCGGGGCACAGCATCTGCAAACATGGAAAGAGGGCTACATTTCAGGGATGCAGGAAATTGCCCTCCAAGAGGTGCCCCAGCTCCAGTAGTTGGGCAGGAGCCTGACGAAATGGTACGCTCACATGCTCAGCAAGTGGGGCCGGGTGGAACCAGTGAACAGTTGTGCAAATGTTTTTCACCAAGTTCAAAAAGCACCTTATGCCCAGAACATCAGTTCCAAGGAGCACTGCAAGTTGTGATAGTTCACAAAGGTCACAGTCACCTTTCTCCAACAGAAAGACTCACTGCAATAGTACCAGAATCGCTGCACTTGGTTCACACACTCAGAAGAGTTAACCAGAGACTCAGCTGTGCCTGTTTGAGAGGGAAATTCCCCCTTTCTCTTCAAAGTCCCTTCGCTCCAGCTGCAGAGATGGCTGTGTATGCGGAGGTAGAACCAGTGTCTCTGGAGCTAATGTACTGGGTATGTCTCCTGTCTCCTCTGAGGCCAGCGGCTCAGAGGAATTCTCTGCCCCCACTAATCCAGGGCCTACTCCATGTTCCCAGGCCTCTTAGGACAGGACTGTTGTCACGCAGCAGGCCAGACTTCACTGACTCACAACACAGAACCCAGGGTGTAAATCAGCGCAGGATTCGACCTGTCCTAGCCAATCTCAATGCATCTGAACGCAGAATCTCTGAAAAAATTAGTTTCCAACAGTGAAAGACACAAACATCTTCACAATTTAATTTCTGTTCACAGCAGAAGCCCCAACTCTTACTACATAAAAGAGCGCCCAGGCTTTCTCTGCAACCAGGCACAGAGAGCCGCCTCTTAAGAGAACATGTTTATGGACCATCCTTAGGAGTGGTTCAGGAGAGAAGACAGAGAAGCAATCATTCAGACCCTGATGGGACTATCAGTGACAGGCCTGGTAACAGGAAGAGGTGCCATTGGAACAGCCCTGATCTTTACTGGAGAGTACTGTATCAAAGCCACTGTATTGAACTTGGGTGTCCCTAATCATCTGATTGCCACAAGCTGGGACTGGACAACAGGGGATGGAGCATTTGACAAACTGCCCTGTTCTGTTCATTCCCTCTGACGCATGTGGCATTGGCCACTATCAGAGACAGGATACTGGGCTAGATGGACCATTGGCCTGACTCAGTCTGGCTGTTCTTATGTCCTTATGAACTTCAGATGGATACGGCCAGTTGTGTCCTGCACGCAGACCCGGGATCAGGCCACATAAACAGCTCATTCTAATGTGCGAGGCGTTTGCTAAGCATAACAATAGAGCTTGGGGATATTGATGCAGGTGAGCAACACAACAGGCTGAATGCACCGAGGGGCTTTAAGACAAATGGAAAAGTTGCCACTTCCTAGAATGCAGAATTCCTGTGATGCTGTGCCTGAGGCAGCGTCTGACTGACAGTCATTCTATACTTCAGATCAACACTTTCTAAGCCACTGAGTATCACATCGGGGTTTTTTTAATTCTTAAAAAATCCACACAATACAATATACCAACCCTGCCATCTGCAGGTCATTTCGCTGTGATGTTGCTGGTCAGAGCTAAGACTCACTCGTGTCTGGATAAAGCAGTGAACATTCAGCAGGGTCAGGACAGCAGCCAAATAAGCAGCTATTGCAGAATAATTCTGGAAGTTGTATTTCACAGAACCTTTGATGAAAGTTAACCACACAACTGATATGACATTGAAACCTAAGCACTGCTTACTGGCTCAGCGTGAACTGCGCTAAGAATTCAGGGCCAACTTTTCCCTGCCTCCTCTCTACGTGAAGGAATAAACTCACTGGAATATTATTATTTATTCCAGGTGACAGGTATGCGGTCATCTCCTGAGGATCCCACAGAAACAGGGTACCTCCCAAGGTTCACCTGGCCGTGACTTTGAGGCTGCTGGGTGTGGCCTGTTGCACTCCAGATCTGCTCCCTGCATAACGAACATGTCTCTCTGAAAAACGCTGCAGGGCCTTCACAGCAGCCCTGAGAGGACATGGGAGGTGTGTGGTCTGAGCAGCCCAATGGTTTGGTAGTACGAGCTCACACGGAGATGGAAGGGGTCAATTCCTAGCATTGTGGTCCAGTGGGCTCCTGACAAGCTAAGTTTGTGCCTTCTGACCTACTGCCGCATGCCTCTCTCCAGGCAACTGGTGTATCTTGTGTCTTTCTTTAAGACCAGGCTATCAGCTGCAGAACTTGCTTAGCTCCTGTGCACACACTCTTTCCTGGAGGCCCCAATGCATATTCATTGTCACTTTCTCTATGCAAGCAGCAGCACCCCAGGATCACAGCGGCACTAAGGCCTGATCTACACACCCCTGACCGATGTAGCAAGCCGACATAACCACCAGCGCAGACACAGCTACGTCCCTGGAAGAGGGATTCCACTGACACAGCTTTGTTCAGTGAGCAGGTATCCCTTCACCAGCCGACAAACGTTGTCAGTGTAGACGCATCTATGCTATGGGGCTATGCTGACGTTGCTATGCTGGCATAGTCTCCAGGGTGCAAACATCCCCTAACTGAACTCGGCTGCAGCTGCCAGAGCCCGTCGTGCCACAGATTTCAGGAGATCTTGGCCACCGGTCATGGTGTGTCTCAGACTGAGGCAGCTACCAATCTGCCCACCACTTGGGGCAGGAGAAGGGAGAGCAGGAGACCAGAAAAGAAGTGGAGCAGAGAGCGAGAGGCAGAGGCCATTATGGTGGCCTGATTCTGCAGAAGCTGTCGAGACAGGAGATGTGGAAGGTTTGAAAGGGAGCAGGAGAGAAGGCAGGATTTCCCTCCTGCGGCCTTGGGAAGCAATGAGCAGGACAGAACAAAACGAAAAAGAAAAGACAAAGGAATGAATGCAAAGACAAAGAAAATGTAAGACGGCCTCCCATTCCCCCATGGAAAATGCCCTCCAGAGTCAAACCCCAAAGCCTCCTCTTAAATCACGGATGGTCCCAGCAATAATTTGCTTCATCCAACAACCATCCCTGAGGTAAAACTCTGCACTTGGAGAGAGAATTTTTAGTCTCTTTTGCTATTTTGAATTCACAAGAATTAAAGCGAAGTCATTTTCCTGAGCTGTCAGACTCTGCAGTTGTAGGAGGACTCACGACAAGCAGGTGGCTAGAGTTTCCTTCCACAGACCCACAGGGAAAAGGGAACCCCTGGGGGAATCATGTCCTTTTAAAATGCATGAGACTGAAATAGAGAGCGTGCCTGAGGGAAATCCCAACGACAGAGCCAGAACCAACAGCTGCACATTTCTCTGTCCAGGCAGGAGGAGTTCCCAGTGAGGACAGCCGGGCAGGGGCCATCGCATGTGCAACCACCATGGAGTGATTTCAGAGCAAAGGACAGACAGGGGAATCATTTTCTGCCTATTCTATGTCACCTATTTAGCACAAGTCTAGACAACACCTCTATTTTGAGTAGTTCTCATTTTGTAGGAGGAAGAGGAATTTGTTGTGGTTGATTTTAATTGAATTTTTAGGCATAACATTTAGCTTGCTTTGGGGCCTTCATTCCCAGGCCTTTAAAAATTACCTATGAGCTGCATAGATAATGTTAAAATCTGAAAACACCTGGGTCCCTGGGGGGCAGCATATACACCAAGGATCTTTGGTGCAGGCCGATTTTAACAGCTTTTAAGTATCCCTCAACAGTAGATCCAAAGAGGGGAAATTAGTTTGTTTCTTCCTCTCAGCTGTCTAAAGGAGTTGAGAGAGTTAATGTTGCTGTAAGTCTATAACATGAAGGAATGTCTGTAACATGTTCACGTCTTACGCAGATAAGGAATGTAATCAAAAGGGGTCAGGAAACTAAATTCCAAGGAAAATAATCTGTCAGAGTCAATGGTAGAAAGGAATGTACTGCAGTCGCTGGCTGTGCACTGCGCAGCTTGAGATACATGCGATAGCCGAGACAGAAAATGGCCTGTCGGGGTTCTGCATTCAGGAGCAAACTTGGGAGCTGAAGTTTATGAAGTTGCCCGGTCTGGCCATGTCTCTCTGAGACCCCCATCATCTGAGCGGGAGCAGCTCAAGTGAAAGGCAGTTCTCAAACACACACATTAAACCTCCCAGCATCTTCCCAGGAAATCCCATTTATTCTTCCCACCCTGCAGTCACTCACTGGCCCTGCACACAGCACCCCTCCCTGCATGCCCCAGCCCATGCTGAGCCACAAGGGAGCATCCCACATGTCTGGTGAAAAAGGGGGGAAGCACTAAAAGGAGAGGACCCCAGCGCTGTTTTTTCTGGTCAATGTGCCCCACATCCTGCCCTGAGTCACACTCACACGACAGACACTCCCTCCTGGGGGGTCCCAGAGCCGGGGCTTCAGCCCGAGCCCTGGTGTCTACGCCCGTTTTCAGCCCCACGGCCCGAGCCTCGCAAGCCGAGTTCGCTGAGCTGGGCCAGCCGGGTGTTTAATTGCACTGTAGACCTACCCGAACACGTCTCTCTGCCGCACATGGCAACGCCCGGCGTGCACGTGAGAAACGCAGGGCGTCCTAGTGCCCAGCACAGCACCCGCAGCAGGGCAAGGAGAGTGATCTGCTGTAGGCGACGGATGGAGATTTTGTGTATTTGGGAGCAGCTCACCTCTGACAGGGTGTTAATGCTTGAAACCAGCTGCAGGCCAAAACCCAGGGTATGTGCCAGGAGAGTCTCGTTCACTCCTGTCCAAGGGGACCACCTGAGCTCCCAGATCACTGCCTCAGCTCCCTCGCACAAGCCCGGCCTGGTCACCCCGCCACCCTCACCTTCCCCCCTCTCTCCACTCCCCCTTCGCACCCACAAACCCTCTCACCAACACTGGGAAGCTCATTCCAAAGCAGAGCGGGACAGACCCCTTCCTAGCAATCCCTTCCCCCAGCGCACGTGTTCGCTAGTGGGGTGGCCGTGTCGTCTCCTGGCGAGAGGAGGGGGCAGACTCCTGTGGGATCTATTCCTGGCTCGGCCACTTATGGAAAAGCTCCCATAGGTTTCCTGGAGCGTTGTGTGGCCTTGAGCAGAGACTTCACTGATCTGGGCCACGATCGGTCTCATGCTCACCGCAGTCACAGGGCATGTGGGAAGCTTAATTAGGGCTGGGCTAGACAATTAGGTCAGTGAGAAATCCACCCCCCTGAGCGGATAGTTAAGCCAACCTAAGTCCCCACGTAGACAGCGCTAGCGCCGGCGACAGGAGAATTCTGCCGTCCACCTAGCTACCGCCTCTCGGGGAGGTGGGTTACCAGCAGAGAGCCCTTCCCCGCGCCGTAGGCAGCGTCTACACTGGCATGCTGCAGCTGCACAGCTAGGCTGCTGCAGCATTTTACGTGTGGACAAGCCCTTAGTCAGTCCGATCGGCAGATCCCCAGATCAAGGCGCTGTGCACAGTGAGAGGCAGCTGGGGTTAACATGCCATTGACTGAAATGCTGAGCGGAAACGCCCAGGCACTATCACCAGCAATTAATCTCTAATGCCGCAGCACCAGATTAGCCTTTAAGAGCCGCTTTCAAGCCCGAAGAATGTGAGCCTGCATTCACTTGTCAGGAAACCCGTGGCGGAAAGAAACAGACTAATGTAAACAGGAAACTTCATACATCATCTGCAGGGCTCCCTCCTCATGGACCTTCCAGCACTGCACTGGGATCAGAGAGCCCACGCCAACGCTGCCTTGCAATGGGAACTGCCTCTCGCCACGGGAGCACCAAGTGGATGTTCACCCTGACGAAGGGCAGAGGGAGGAGCCGGCTCCCTGCAGGAAGGACACTGAGCCGTAGTCTCCAAGCACAAACTCAAATAAGTTACAAGGAAAAGCGTACGATGGAAGAGACTATTTGGCCCCACTCCAGCCCCTCCACCTCCCCACGGCTATCTTGGCTCCAGGTGATCTTTATCCTGGGAGCTCCGGACGGTGGTGCAGATAAACTCACTCACTTCCCAGCGGGATGGGCACACAAGGGCTCCTGCTGGGCGGGCTGAAAGGGTATTTGCCTCAGGTTCAGAAAGGGGATGCTGTGATGCTGTCACAGAGCGGGAGCATGATACATTATGCACCAAGCAGCAGAAGTTGCGAAGCCTAGCCCACCCATCGGATCAGCCAGATACTGAGGGAGATGCCACTCAAAGCCATGGTGAGGGGCTGCAAGCAAACAAATACAGACCAAATATTCCCCAAGACCTCCCGGCCCCCTCTGCTGCAGAGGCGCTCTGTCTCCTTGCATTTTACCATTTAGCTGGTTCATCAGTTACATCTGCTGCTTCGAGTCAGTGAACCTGCCAGCTGCAGCAAGTGTGCGGTGAGGCTCATTGGTACCCAGTTATTGTACTTTGGTGTAAATCACATTGGAACAGGAGGAGAAGCTCACCCGGCTGCCTTAGATGAGGATTCACTTGGCTCTGGGAAAACAACTTTGCCCTGAGCCCTTTCCTTCCCTTTTACATTTTATTCGCCCCAACCCAGTGCTTTAAAAGGAGTGAGTGGGGCCAGGCAGTTAACTGGCCACTGCTGGGGGCTGATGATCGGTCTGTGTGCTGCACTGTGGAAAGAGCAGGAGGAGGGGAACAGATGGACGATTGGTCTGCCCTGCGTTTGCAATTTACAGCTATACAAGTTTAAAGTTAGAATCTTTCACTGGTTTGGGTCACTGGCCGTAGGAAAAATTCTTGTTCTGGTTCCAAAGCAATTTGACCAATTGACCTATGGGCTAAGCAGCTGCTAAGCACTCACATCTGTCTATCGATGCAGATACTTCTATGGCCTCAACACTACAGTATCCGAGTACCTCTCCCAGCTGCCCAGCTTCCTACCAGAGTCCAGTTTGCAGAGTGGCATTCTGCTGGCTAAGTTCTCCCTGCAGTTTCAGCTGGATGTAGAATTCTTTGCTTTCCAGCCTGAAGCGCCGTGCTGAGGTGGGATGTTAAACAGCTGATACGGGATTCATTTATACGTAGATATAATCTGTGCCGTGCTTTGGAACCCTTCAAGATGGGTGTTACTAGGATTATTACATTTGCGTGCCATATTGGCCAGCTGTTTCTGGAAAGCCTCCTCCAGGTAATTACAGAAGTCTTGTGCTTCGCATGACATGCCAGTGGCGGGGAGGAGATGCATGAACATGACTGCACACGGAAAGTATTGCTAAAATACTTCCAAAGCCAAGACCTGGAGGAGGGTGGCTGGTAAAAAACCGAACCCCAGAACACGTTCTTCAAGGTGAGCACACAAACTGCCGGCCCGTTCTCGGGAGGAGACACTGCTCTCTGCAAAGCAAAGGACAAACTAACAATATTGCCAAGGTATTATCAGCTCTACTTACTACGTCGTAACCTGTAGGTGCCCGGTTCCGAGATGCAACCACCCCAACGCCTGTGATAGGATCCATTGGCACGTCTGGCAAGGCATCTGAAAGGTCTCGGACTTCAGGCATTATGGACTGTGCCTGAAACAGGGAGTCAGAGTTAGAGGGCTACACTGTAGACAGCCCCTTAGACAGAAAACCTAGCACGCGCATCCGCAGAGCACCGCGTGTGCTGGAACAGCTCACCGCTATGGCCACACACACCGTCCGCATCTTAAAGCGCTCAAGCTTTCAAGCATTTTTAAAGAGGCATTTGCTTTTGAAAAGAACTTACATTTGCGCCCTCTCTGATAGGTCAGGAATTCAGGCCAACAGCCTCTTCTGAGATTAACTTGATTGTTTCCAGAATGTTTAGCCTGGGCTGGTCCCCATCGAGTGCCCGTAAGAAAACCTGAGCCCATCACCCAATGAAAGGGCAAACTGACCCCTGTGATTCAACCAGGCCCAGGTGGTCCTGCCGTTCCTGGAGGGAAGGAGGCTATTTTGAATGGCTCTGTTCTAAGGTTCCCCCTTGCAGCTCAGTATCAGACAAGCTGAGGATTGCACTGAGAGCCTGCCTCCCTTCCGGGCGTAGCGAGACCTGGTTTACATGGCACTTGGTTCATCACGTACCTGGCACTGTACAGCAGCTGGGACAGCGAATGACATGCCTGTCCCACACAGCTGAGACAGCAGGAAGGCGCAAACAGGCCCAGGCCCGGCCTGGAGACTTTCGCACGCACAGCGTAGCTGGGGTTGGAGTGACTTTGCAGAAGGGGGTGGGGTGTGCCAAGCGTCGCGGGGGAGTGGACCCGAGAGCCTCAGGGAGCAGTCAGGGGAGACGCGTGCGCCGGACAGGTCCCAGGAGTAGGTGGGAGGGCTGTGACAGAATTCTAGCCAGGGTGGAGGAGAGGGAGAGGGGGCAGAGTCCAGGCAAGGCTGGGGGAATGGAGCCATTGCCTGAGCATGTGGCGTCCTGCCAAGAAAGCCAATTCAGGCAAGTCCTCTCTTGCTTCCAGGTAGGAATGCGCCAGGAAACCACCCCGACGCCAAGAGATGAAAAGGCAGCAGTGTGTGTAAAAGAGCGTCGTTGCTGGGAAGCCAGACAAGCTGTGCAAAAAGCTACCTCATTCAGTGGCTTTTTCACAGCAATTAAACCCCAACCTCTTCAGGGCTGGTTACTTATTGCTTCTAAAACAGGCAGAGGTGAGTGCTGGTGTGTATACTTCGTACTGCCGAGTTGAGCAAACATCATGTTGCAGGCAATAAAAGGTGACTCTGGTGTCCTACATAACAGTGCTACACGTAGAGTCAGCATATCTGTAGCACCCCCACCCGCCAAAACCCCAAGAGTCAGCATCCGTCTAGAATGTCAATGAAGCAATTGCCACCAACTTGGTGTCAGGAAGAGTTCTGCTTCATGCAGGCAGGGGACTGGACTCGATGACCTCTCGAGGTCCCTTCCAGTCCTAGAATCTATGAATCTATTCATTGCCTGGACCAATTTCTTGAAAATGCAAAGAAACGGAGATGCAGCTCCCTTCATTTTCTAGACAACTCAAGCTTCTAGGAATCTGGAGATAGGAATCTGCATTTTGAATCCTGGCGTTTCCCCCTTTCTATTTCGTATACAGACTCCTCAGCTTCACGCAGTCAGCTCAAGAGAATGAAGGCAGCCCTTAGAATAGAGAGACTGCAGCCCACCCACAGCCAGCAACTCCCAGCAAACATGGTTCTCATGTTTAGTTATACACAACAACCAACCCAAAACCCAATGCTGTTGCTTGCAGTTCAAAACACTGCAACCTGCCAACTTCCCAAAATGCTTTGCAATTAACAATTCATAACAGAAGGCATAAACTGTGCAGTGCTGACACCGCATAATGTGAATTAAAATACAGACTATGTAATCTGCATAGAGATGTGTAGATATGTTTACTGATAAACACATTTCCAGGTTGCTCGCAATAGCTTAGTGACCTATTGATGCCCATCAATTTCTTTTGATATGTAACAAATATTGATGTTAACGGCTCTTAGGCAGGGCGGGTGCAAGGATGTTTCGCGTCCTAGGCAAAACTTCCACCTTGCACCCCCCTCCCCCAAGCCCTGTGGCAGCTCTCCCACCCTCCCCCCCTGCAGCAGCTCCCCCCAGCCCAGGGAGCCGTGCAGCAGCTCCCCGCCCCAGCTCACCTCTGCTCTGCCTCCTCCCAGAGCACGCTGTCGCTGCTCCACTTCTCCCACCTCCCAGGCTTGCGGCGCCAATCAGCTGTTTGGCACCGCAAGCCTGGGAGGGAGAGAAGCAGAGTGGGGCGGCGTGCTCAGGGTAAGAGGCAGAGCAGAGGTGAGCTGGGGCGGGGAGTTCCCCTGCGTGCCGCCCCCCCCTTACTTGCTGCAGGCGGCCCTCCCCGCGCCCCCCTGCCCCAGCTCCCTCCGCCTAAATGCCGATGACGACCGGGGCGGCTGAAGATCCGGCCGCCGCGGTTGCCGCCGAAGGACCCAAAATGCCACCCCACAAATGTTAGGGCCCTAGGCGACTGCCTAGGTCGCCTAATGGGTTGCACCGGCCCTGCTCTTAAGTGAATCCACACTGTCCTTAAAAGAAATAATGATATTCCCCAGTTCACGACAGGACAAGATACCCTCAGAATGGTGGCTGCTATCTAAGCAAAGGGGAAGGGTGTCTATTCCACACAAGTGTTTCCATATCACCAGCTATTGCTGCATCCAAATGCAACAACAAAGGCAGGTCCTGAAGTGGCAGCGCTGACTGGCAGTAGGCGAACAGAGGCTTAGGCCTCAGGTCTGGTGCCAGGCCTTGACATGCTAGAATGCTGGGATGAAAAAGTCTTTGCTTCCTTCCACTTGTGGCAAACACCATCCCAACTCCCTCCTAAGCAGCTACCCCGTATGGGATCGGACATCACTACAGGCGTTCCTCTCCTGGAAGGCTCAGAATGGAGCTGACAATACCTTTCCTTTGAAAACACCCACAACCAGCAAGACCACAATTTTCATAAGTGACTGGTGATTTGGGGAGGCCTCATTTCCAGCGAGCGCTGAGCAATCACCCTTTGAAAATGGGCACCCATCCCTTTGGGGCAACTCACATTGGATGTCCAAAAATCACTAGCCAGCTTTTGAAAAATTTGCCCCAAGCCATTTCCTCTAGGCAGCTAACAACCAGCTGCCTGTTTGTGCATGTGATTTGCCTGAAGCAGCTTCTCCTCCTCAGCCTCTCAAAGACGCCAACCCAGGAGTCACTCTGCTGCAAACTATGCCACAGTCCCATCCCGCCTCCTAAGACCAGCTGGCCCCGAGGAGGGGAGCTGGCATGTAATACTGCGCTACAGAGCTGGGGAAAGCCTGCCCGGTCACACTGCACAGGGACAGCACGAGCGATTTAAGCACAGATGGACTTTCCCAAAATCGACAGTTTTGCATAAAAACTTCATTTCTTTTGAAACTTTCTTGCTTTTCAATGAAAAACCAGAACATTTCTGTGAACCCTTCTGAAAACGTTTGCCAGTCTCCAGCCAGCGCTACCCCAGAACGAAAGAGTTCAGCCACATCACCATTGCATCCCCTCGCCTCCCCGCAAGCTGGCACAACGTTTAGCTTGAGATTTTAAATGCACAGAAGTCAGGAGATGCAGAATACAGTTTGTCATCAGAACCCTCCACACTGATGAGTTACGCTGGCTCATTTCACTCAGCCCGTCACAGTGCCCCTTTTAGAGCAGGGCAGGGAAGGGTCACCACTTCTCCCCATCCCAGACAGCTCTCTTTCTTTCTATGTCTAGCGGAGTTCCTCAGCATTGTCTAACTGGCTCACACAGAAATGTAGCTCAAGCCGCCTGCAGCACTTTAACCTCAAGAATTACAGGGAGATGCTGGCCCCAGACGTGTTTATCCCTGCACTGCAGTTTTGGGTTCCCACGGAACTAAGGGCTTAGTGAGAAGCAGCTGCACGGATGGAAGACTGCTGTAGTCTATGAGAGTTAGTGAAAATCATTAACAGAATTTTTTTAAAATTGAAAATAAGCCCCTCATGAGCTGTGAGCATCTAAGGAGAAGCAAACTTCCCATGCAATTCCAGAATTACCGGGGCTCCTTGTAACCATGGTTTCTGGTGGAGCTGAACTTTTCTGGTGTGCCTCATGAACAATTTGTGTAGTCTCCTGTCGCGGGGTGGACACCCGCTCCTGCCCTGCGGGGTTGGAAAAGCCCTGCAGAGGGCTGGGGCTGGGCAAGGGAAAACCCTGGCTGATTGGGGGAAGTGGCTGCAGCTGGGCCACACCCTAATCAGAGCCCAGATGGCCGGTATAAAGAGGCTGGGAGCCAGGAGCTCAACAGTCTCTCTCTGCCTTCAGAGAGAGAAGGGCCTGGCCACAGGGAGCTAGACAAAGAGTACCTGAGTAGAGCAGGGCTGGGGAGCTCCAGCCTGGAAAGCCCCAGGCTGCGGCCTAGTATTAGGCCAAGGGGTACTGGGGGTTGCAGAGGGCAGCTCAGGGCTAGTCCAAGGCAGCAGGTCCAAACCCCCCCTTGCCAGTGATGAGTGGCCTATACTGCAGTCTGCCCCAGGGAGCAGGGGCTAGTTGGTGACTGGTAGTGGCCTAGTGCTGAGGCAAGGTGAGGATAGTGGGTGGGGGTTCCCCAGGGAGGGGAGACCCAGATCTGTGGGGTACTGCTAGGGGGCAGCATCCCAGCAATAGGGGCACCGGGTCCTGGGAGGGACACGGGCGCCAGAAGAGGGCAGGCGGATCATCCGCGTACAGAGGGCGCTCCAGACGCTGGACGAGCTGATTCCCTGGAGTAACCAGCAGGAGGTGCCGCAGGGGTGAGTCTGGACCCTTTACATCTCCCTACTCTTCACTCTCAGCCACTGGCTGAAAATACTTGCTGCTTTATTGCACCCAGGATCAAAAATACACTTCTGCTTATTGGTAGCCCTCAAGTCTCCCCACATCGAGTTATTTTGCTATGGACATTGCCAGCAGCTGCCGGACCCTGAGGAGATCACGGTTTCAGAGAAAACAATGAAGTTCCAGCTTCCTGCGCATGTAAAGGAGGGACCACTTCCTCAAAGGCACAGGTAACGCT